ATCATAACAAGATTTCATGAGACAAATAAACCACTACCGACATTTATATCTTTTCACAAAAAGTGTGGAGCTTTCATATCAGCCAGCCCTCGACATGATTTATTTGTATGTATGTATGTATGTATGTAAGTACGTACATAAGCAAAGTAAACCTTTGTAGACAGAAACAATCAGAGAAGCTAAGAGCATGTATGTTTCCTAAGGCAGCTGTGTGCCTCAAAGAAATAAACCGGAGACAGTCAACTCCAATGTATTACATCTCTCAGAAGCTAACAACTCACCGTACATTTCTGAGTCATCCCAAAGATTGTAACACTGCCATTTTCTATCACAGACAGATGCTATGTTAACCCTTTCACCCTGTGAATGCTAAAAAAAATGGGCAATGAACCCATGGGAATTTCCACAAACAAGAGCGATGCATTAACTCTTTCAGACTGATGTCCCGCTACTATGGTAATTTTCTAATCTGCCGCTTAACTGGTGTCCCTCATTGTCGGTACTTTGCGTACTACATGAAAACAATGCGTCACAAACTAAAAATAACTAGCCAATCATGGTTAGTCATTGCCAATTGCTGCCCATGTGTGTTTGGATTCACTTTGTGTGGTTTAACATGAAAAAATTTATTATAACATGAATGGTTGATGAACCAGGAAAATGAAGTAGGTCTAGGCTTTTCACAGTTCAACAGGTGATCAATACTTTGGTTGATTCAGACTCTGAGGAGAATACGTTCTTAGTTGTAGTGATACAGTCAGTGTGAGCTCGAGTGATGAGGAGAATCTTGAAAATTATAGATTTAAAACTAGATCGATAGCAAGAGAAGGTGGCATGTCCCTCAGACAGCAACATCAGGTACTCACTTTGTGAAACAAGGCCGATCTTGCTGGGTGAATTGGCACACAAAGTTGGAAAATTGGCTAGATGAAAGGGCAACCTATTTTCTACAATGTCTCCAAGTATCACCTTATTCTTACCGCTTGTTTGCATGTAACTGATATTTTTGTATATCATGGTTTTTTGTGTGTGTTCATGCCCAGGAGCTCAGGTACAGAGGGCAGTTAGGTTCAGGGCCTCAGGTCTGGAAGGGTTAAATGGAATCCATTCCTTAGGGCTTAAAATAAGTATGCATCTGTTGACTCATGCCCTGACCTTGTGACCTCTATCACTGAGGTTTAAGGGAAATTTTTTTAGGTCAACTCTGCTTTCAAAAAAGCTGGATTTACAAGGAAACCCTCTAAAGATTTAGTAAATAAATTCACATCCAGGCCACCTAAACACTATGTACACACACACAGAACCAATGGTTTTAAGAACAGGTCACGGCAGAAATGGTGATATACAGGGATTTACAAGGCTGTGTCACAACCAGAAGTGACTAAATTTAGCCTTTCCAGAACAACAGGGATCACCCTGAGAAGAGAACATTCTATCCCTTGCATCTTAATTTTTCGCATAACCATCTCCGTCATGTGGGGGTCTCGGTTCAATTCTTTCAGACCTAAGTACTGACTGCTTTTAAACTAGGCTCCTTGGTATTAAAGGGTTAGTGTAACAATTGTTTAGAAATGAAAGAGTTAACATGTGCACACCTGGCAATTTCCAGATGTGACAGTTAAATATGTGTGAATTCCACCTACATTCACACAATTTTGTATGAACTGAATATTTTAGTCTTTGAAATTTTGTCTGTAACTACTATTCTTGTAACTGTACCATTTACAAATAAAAAAAATTGTATATATCATTCCAATATAAGGTTAAACATCTATATGTCTCACAAAAAACAAGTTATTTTAAAAATTTAAATATGAAAAAGAAACTTACTAAAACCTGTCCCATAAGATAAGGTGGGGGGAGGGGGCATGTACAGTAAAACTGCTTTAACGTTAACATAAATTCCAGAGGACCGAATAATCAAGACTTCATGTTTACAAAAATGCGAGCTAGCTGGGGAATAATAATAATACATCCCCCCAAACCATAAATTCAGTTCATGTAAACAGAGTGTTCATCTTAAGCAAGTTTGTGTTAAAGAGGTTTTATGTCATAAAAGGCAATTAATTAACAATTTGCTGAAATCCCAGAAACTGCAGGTTAGCTGTATACCACAACACAATGTACCAACCACCCTTTTAAGGGTGGATAGAATACAAGAGAACATCGTACTTAACAATGCTACCATAGGGGCCTACGTTAGCGCAGTCGATAAGAGGCTCGCTTTCAAATCCAGCTGCGACTCGCTGCAGCCACGGTCGGTTTTCGAAACCGGGCGGTTCCCGGGGTTCACCCAGCCTCTAGGAAATGGGTACCAGAGTGATACTCGGGGGTAAATGGAGGAATGTCGTTGTAGCTACAGAGTTACGTGCGAACGGCGTCACAAGCGGACATTTCTTATCAGCTGTCCTTACTAGTGGCAGAGCACTTATGGTTTATAACCGTGTGCAATGATGCTGGTTCACATCTCCCGACTTTTCCTTTACTGCTACCATAATTTATTCTTATGAACCAAAAAAATAGTTCACAGACGGCCTCTGATAAACTGAGTATACATTTGTGTGTGTGTGGCAGACTCTGTAGATGCACTAGCTATTTCACAAACAACACAAACAATCCAGACTTACAGTGAACCCCAAGAAAGAATGAAAAAAAAAAGAATCACCCAATAAATTCACAAGCATGCACTGTATAATATTACCACAGATAAATCAAGTGTTTACATAGCAGGTAGAAAAAAAATGAAATCACAATACAAATGTACAATAATGAAAGTATTAAAAATATACAAATAACTGAACATCAAGCACTTCAAATTATTCTTACATTAAGAAAAAAATATGCACAAGCAATACCAAAATGGTGGCAGTTATTTCATTATCAATCCAGTTTGCCACCCACTGACATTTCTCTAGTTATATGACAGTTTACATGACCTAAATAACTGACTTTTCCGCACTCAATAACCATCTTCATCATAAATCAGCAGGTAATGTCCAGAATGTCACTTTCATCACAGCACGCCTGAAAAATCAACATTCACAAAGGTTTGTCTCTGCCTCGATTTCCGGAAACCGTACCTCCGCTCTCTCCACGTCACATTGACATTTAACATGGCTGAAATACCTGAGCTGTCGGGACAGGATGCTGTTTATGAGCCAATTCTCCTCCATGCTCAGATCACGCAGGATGTTGATGTTTTTTTTCTTCTTGGTCCATGGTATTCTAAGCATTGTTCTGTAGCATTTCAGTTTAAAATCTTTAGTTTTTTCTTGAATGACCGAGAAAAGGACCATGACTTGCACCCATAAATTGCCCAGGAAAGGATTCACGATCTCAAAATCTTTACTTTAATTCCCTTGCAAGGGCTGTTACTTAATAATGCACAGCCTTAATTTACTGACTTTTCTCCTTGCATAAAGCTTTAAACTATCCACTTTCCCTTCGTTATATCTCAGTACACAGCGATCTGGCATCACCATACAAACAATTTTTCACTGTTTAATCCCAGAAGGGTTCTCAAATGTTAAATAGGAACCACTAGTTAGTGACTTTCAAAGAGGCCAAAGACATAGTGGACGTGATCACTGGGAAGCCAGATTTGTTTAGCAAGATTTGACCAAATATAAAAAGTACAGAAACACATCACATGATGATGGGGTCTACAGGAAAACAGCAGCAAACACACCCCGTGTGGCCTGGGCTACAAATACATAAGTGGCCAAAACTTTAAGACCGCCTAGTAAATAACCAAAATTTGTAAACTGTTACGGAGTACTTACTACATTCACTGCTAATTTAGGGCCACTTAAGGCAACCCTTACAGTCATCTTCTGCCCGAAAACAGCAGTTTATGAAATAATTCATAACAGTGTGGACAGATAAATTATTTACTAGAAAGGCTCAAACTTTTGGCTGCTGTAATTAAATCTCCAACAACTTTATCTCTGAAAAAAATGCACCGATCATGACAACAGCTTGACCTCCAGATATTCCCCTATAAGTTTTCATCAAAGAAACAAACAACAAATTTACTAAATCAAGACTACAAAAAAAGACAATTTGAAACCTTATCATCACTTCAATTTCATATTTTGCTAGCGGGTTAACTTTCCAGGTTTAGCATCGTGTAGTAATTTAACTAGTTTAATTTAAAAGAAAAAAGGATACAAATTCTAATTTACCATGTGTCGTTTACCCTTGTATTAACTGATTAGTCCCAATTAAACGCAATCTCATTGTTCTATCAGACATTTAGTTGGAATAACATAATCTGCAAGCTCTGCTATCAGTATTTAGTTGGAATAACATAATCTGCAAACACTGCTATCAGTATTTAGTTGGAATAACATAATCTGCAAGCTCTGCTATCAGTATTTAGTTGGAATAACATAATCTGCAAGCTCTGCTATCAGTATTTAGTTGGAATAACATAATCTGCAAACACTGCTATCAGTATTTAGTTGGAATAACATAATCTGCAAACTCTGCTATCAGTATTTAGCTGGAATAACATAATCTGCAAACTCTGCTATTAGTATTTAGCTGGAATAACATAATCTGCAAACTCTGCTATCAGCATTTAGCTGGAATAACATAATCTGCAAACTCTGCTATCAGTATTTAGCTGGAATAACATAATCTGCAAACTCTGCAATCAGTATTTATTTGGAAATGGTATTTTTTGAACAGCGCTACCAGTATTATGCAGGATACAGTATCGTCACAATCTGCTACTAGTACTTACTTTCAAGGGGGGGAAAAAACAAATGATCATTATGAAGAGGATACAAATACTTATGAAATGCATCACACAATAAGTTGTTCATAAATTAGCATGAACCACAGAACTGAAATGTTCATCACAATTAAAATGGTGATTCACTGAACTGTTTTATCTTCGGAAAGATAATTTTCTCAGCTAGGAATCCTCCCAGCTTCCTGTACGACGACGACGACAATGTGAGTTTCCTCTGACTTCCTCAAGATGATGGAGCTCTTCAGCAGCAGCTACCTCCTTGGTTGCCTCCACTTCCTCCAACGTTCAAGCTCTGATTGGCTGGAGAATGTTGTGGTCCGATTTTTATTCCGTTGGCCTGTAAATGAAATATAATGAACATCACAAGGATATAATTAGAATAAGAGAAAAACCATATGTAAACTGGATGGTTGAGAAAGGCTGGAAACAAAAATCAGAAGAGATCGAGTGAGAAATGAAGCCATTAGAAGAACTATCGGAACAATATCGATGGTTCAATTAACTGATCTCTGTGTGGGTTCAGGGTAAAAATAAGACTAGATCCACTGCCCAACTTGCCTGTGCGGGTTCTGGGGCCCCATTTGGGGAAAACAAGAATAGACCCACTGCTTCCTCAACAAGTAAGAGTCGATTAACTGGGGGTTGCCTTCAAAGTCAAGAGTGCATCTGCCTGAGAGTGAAACTGCATAATATTTCAGGACCACAGTTGCTATCAGGGTTATGGAAATATATTTACGGAGACACTCAAATCTTAACTTGTCTGCAATACTTTTCTTCATCCCTATTCCCTTCCAACCGCCCCCCCCCCCCCCCCCACCACTCATTCCCCCCAATGTGCACCATGGTATCCTGTTCCCTTCCAACCTCTCCCCCTCCCCACCACCACTCATTCCCCCAATGTGCACCATGGTATCCTGTTCCCTTACAACCTCCCCCCCCCCCCACCACTCATTCCCCCAATGTGCACCATGGTATCCTGTTCCCTTCCAACCTCTCCCCCTCCCCACCACTCATTCCCCCCAATGTGCACCATGGTATCCTGTTTCCCTTCCAACCTCCCCCCCCCACCACCACTCATTCCCCCCAATGTGCACCATGGTATCCTGTTCCCTTCCAACCTCTCCCCCTCCCCACCACCACTCATTCCCCCCAATGTGCACCATGGTATCCTGTTCCCTTCCAACCTCCCCCCCCCCACCACTCATTCCCCCCAATGTGCACCATGGTATCCTGTTCCCTTCCAACCTCCCCCCCCCCCACCACTCATTCCCCCCAATGTGCACCATGGTATCCTGTTCCCTTCCAACCTCCCCCCCCCCACCACTCATTCCCCCCAATGTGCACCATGGTATCCTGTTCCCTTCCAACCTCCCCCCCCCCCACCACCACTCATTCCCCCCAATGTGCACCATGGTATCCTGTTCCCTTCCAACCTCTCCCCCCCCCCCCCCACCACTCATTCCCCCCAATGTGCACCATGGTATCCTGTTCCCTTCCAACCTCCCCCCCCCCCCACCACTCATTCCCCCCAATGTGCACCATGGTATCCTGTTCCCTTCCAACCTCCCCCCCCCCCACCACTCATTCCCCCCAATGTGCACCATGGTATCCTGTTCCCTTCCAACCTCTCCCCCCCCCCACCACTCATTCCCCCCAATGCGCACCATGGTATCCTGTTCCCAAAAACCCACCTCAAAACATGATCCTTCATGTCCAGTTTGCTCATATTTAAAGGTCTACCCATCTGTAATTTATAAAAGTGTGCAGCATAACCATAAATAGGTACATATCAAACAGTCCAAATCAACAATAACTGACACATCTAACCCAGGGCTTCCCAAATAGTGGTCTGCAAACCTCATGGAAAGGTGTCCATACTTTTTTACCTCAACTTTGGGGGGGAGGGGGAAGTTGTGCCGCTGGTACTTGGAACAGCGCCTACTATGATGGTAAAGTTCAATGCGGGACTGGAGTCTCTGTCGCGTAGTCTACATAAAAACATTGATGCGCTAACGTTCTGAGGCTGGTTTTCCCTCAGATGTTTCCTCTCTATAGCTTGCTTCATTTGGCCTCTTGCAAACTGAGCCAGTTTGTCTTTCATTGTCTGCCTTCAAAGGAGTCGGTCTGCAGCTGATTTCTCCCAAGTGTTTTGTGTCCATGTTGATATCTTTCAGGTCACGTTTGCATATGTCCTTATAGTGTAGCTTTAACTTTCCGGCAAAACTCACCTCTCTTTCTAGTTCACCATACAGATGATCCAAATTGGGAACCATTTACCTAACAAAATTTAAAAACCAGTTAAAGAGTGCACATGGATTCCAGAAATACTAGAAATAGTTCAGATACACCAAAGGCAATACCTCATTGTTAATGTCGAAGACACCGTCCTGAATCTTCTGATAAATCTCTTTGGCAGTGTTGATAAATGCCTGAAAGCAGACAACATGAAAAGTCACAATAACAATTAAGGTATTCAAAACAAGGTTCTCCCACTGTGAATTTAAATAACACTACACAGAAGTAAATCTTAATCTAGGAAGGCAAATCTAATAAATACTGTTTATTGTAACTTAATGTTAGCAGTGTCATACTTATACCCTTGTCGAAACTGATGGCATAAAATCATAACAACAGAGAAGACATGTCATAGAAAAGCTGCTGTTGCAAGAGAAGACACCATTAGCAATAAAGAAATTAGAAGAAGACTAAGCCTGAAAAAAGTCATATAGTTTATTAAAGAGCAAAAGATGAGATGGTTTGGCCATGTGACGAGAATTCCCTGGTACCAACTGCCACAGAGAGCCATACTGGAGAAATACAATGCACACACAGCAAGGGAAAGACCACACACAAAAAGGAATGATGGCATCCAGAACAGCCTCAAGGAAAGGAAGACCAACTTATACAAGGTACTGGAAGAGCACACATAATATCTTTACATCGCTCTGCAACAGCTGGATGAAGTAACTGAAGGCAAAGAAGAAGATGAATTTAAATAAGAAGAATACAAACATCAGGTCAGGTGCACAACACTACTGTACAACATATTACCCTAAATCTGGTCAGGTGCACAATTTACTGCCTGTCATATTTCACTACATCTGGTCAGGTGCACAATACTACTGCACAATTTACTGCATGTCATATTTCACTACACCTGGTCAGGTGCACAATACATCTGGTCAGGTGCACAATACATCTGGTCAGGTGAACAAAACTACTGCATAATTTATTGCCTGTCATATTCCACTACACCTGGTCAGGTGCACAATACTACTGCACAATTTATAGCCTGTCATATTCCACTACACCCGATCAGGTGAACAATACTACTGCACAATTTATAGCCTGTCATATTCCACTACACCTGGTCAGGTGAACAATACTACTGCACAATTTATAGCCTGTCATATTTCACTACACCTGGTCAGGTACACAATACTACTGCACAATTTATTGCCTGTCATATTTCACTACACCTGGTCAGGTGCACAATACTACTGCACAATTTATTGCCTGTCATATTTCACTATTCGGTTGTGCTTTCATTATCTAAACATTAAGGTGTGCTGTCTTTTAGTGTTTTTCTCCTACCATGTCTTTCCCCCAACAGGCTCTAAAACAACTAACCAAATAACAATCTTATCCTTTGTGCAGCTCTCTGCATAAAGTTTATTTTTTTTTTCATGTCCAATGTTTATTTCTCTTCAGCATGTGATTTCAGGTCTCCCTTGATATCTTCTACCCTGTGGGCTCCAGTAAGGAAAATTTTAGTTATTATTACATTTTCTCAATTAACTTCAGGGGGGTCTCTCTGGGGAAATGTTCAAGCCGTTTGCATCGCGCTTTGAAGGTCGTGGGTTCATTTCACAGATGCACTGATCAGCTCACGAATGCAATTGTTACGGAGATCCCTGAGGATCATCACTGGAGCTATGGAGTACGTGCTCTGTGCAACACTCTCGGCAGGTCAGCTGGCTATTCTGCGGAGAAAGACCGAGCCATATGGGATAACACCTAGCCCAATGAAGTCAATCCTCTCAACTTTAATGAACTAAAAGACAATAGCAAACAAAAAACATGTCACATTTAACAGATGATCAGACACGAGACAAAATGACTGCTCACCTCTTCCACGTTGGCTGCAGTCTTGGCAGATGTCTCCATAAAAATCAGGCCGTGCTCCCTGGCAAAAGCCTCACCCTCCTCTTTCTTGACCTCCCTCCTTGCCTCTAGATCACTGTACAAAAAATAGTAATAGAAAAAAAAATCGTGAGATATTATTTAGCTGTTTCTCAATGTGCTATCTCTACCACATAAATTGTTTCTACACAGAAATTTGGAAGCATCATTCATTTTGAGTGCTGTTTTTACAGAGAACCTTGGGGATTGCCGCTGGAGCTAGGGAGTTTTGTGCGTTGTGCGACAGTCTCAGCTGATGGCTAGTTGTCAGAACCCTGTTTGCACAGTCATGGGACGGTGCATACCATAGAGATGGTGTACTGCGTGTATGTGCATGACAAAGAGTTGACGGACAGGTCAGCACAGTGGAATTATGACTGTCTATGTATGTGCTGGGATGGCCAATGGAAAATACAGTTGTGATGGTTATAAAGCATGGCAGAATTGAACACTAAACTGGCAAGTCCACGATTTCTACATGGTCCTGACTGAGCCAGCGGACTGTGGCAGAAAGGCTCCGAGGTTTTGTGACAAGGGGATTCGGACAGTGGACAGGAGACATGATATAGTTTGACACAGTAGAATCTTGGAGTGTTACAGTAATATTCTAGTGACCGCATAGATTGTGATAATGTGTTTCGTTAGGATCGCATAGCTTCTCTGTGTTGAGTAGCATCCGTCGGTGACTGGCGTTTCCTCGAACTGTTTTATGTAAGTAGTGCTGAGGTATTCGGATAGTTAAGGTTGGTTATGGAATGGCTGTTGTGATGGTATCTATCCTAGCATACTGACTCCACACTTTGCGGGCACTGTGCATTCCTGGTGGAGTCCAGTCGCACTAGAATAAGAGCTTTGCGCAAGCAGTGTGGGTTTGGACCTGAGTATTATCCATTGGAATGGGAAGGCGTGCCCTGGTGATTTGTAAAGCCAGCACGGTCTGTGCCCACATCTCTTGACGTTAACTGTCTCATGTTAGTCTGTAATTTTCATGGAAGACAGTTGTGTGTGCTCTGTTGGTGTTCGGTTTAGTGTGTTTTTTGATAGTCTGTCACAGACCCATACCACGAGCCACTGAAGTGATCTGCCACACTCGTTAGACCAAGTCCATTAGGGACTGATTTTTTCTTTCAATCACAAACAAATCATGGTGCATTTTTTCTTGTGTGGTTAATTTGATCAGAGCTACTTATAAAAATCTATATTTAGACTTTCTTATTCATGGTTATTTTCTTCTTCTTTGTCACATTTACCGGCTTTAAACCCCAGCTAAAGGTTTTGGTTGGTTGTCCACCTCTGGGCTTTAATCTTGATCCAGAACCTGAGTGTTGTATGCAAATCGATTCAACAGATCTGGCTTATCTGTATGTAGACTTTAGTTCCTTGCCTCTCAGGCAGATGCAATCCAACTTCAAAGAAAGCTCCCAATTAGTCGACTCCTACGACATGCTTGTTGGGCAGGCAGTGGCTCTATTCTTGTTTTCCTCACAACTGGACCCCAGAACCCATATGGGGATTTGGTTATTTCATTGAGGCATCCGTCAGGAAGTTTCAGTGAAAGAGACGACAGATGTGTGCAGCTTATAAGAGAAGTATAGATCTCCAGCCCTCACCTCTTGTTACCAATAAGCATGATGACCATGTTAGAGTTGGAGTGCTGTCTAGCATCTTCTAGCCATGTAGTCAGGTGGTTAAACGTGTCACGTCTGTAAACAGATGACATATATGAAAACATGAGAAACACCATATCAGCAAAACAATGAACAGTCTCACATAAACTGATTCTTCTCCTTTTTGTCTTTCATCGCGTAATAGAGCACCGATCCACAACCAACTCATCTTCTCTAGGTCCATGCCTTGTGGCAGTGGTAGTCGTATCCACAACCTTCTGTCTCTCATGTACTACTTATTTTTCTTCGTGTTCACAAGCTGTACACTCCAGCAGAAAGTTCTACTTGTGTGTCCATGAGAGGTGGACTCATCCCAAGAATTAAGTCTTGTTTCCAGAACCCGAGTTCTGTGTGCATATCCGTTTCACAGATCTGGCTTATTTGTATGCAGACTGTGGACACCTCAGGCAGATATACTTCAACATGGGCCCACAACTAATCAACTCTGACAATATGCTTGTTTGGGGAGGCAGTATTCTCCCAACAACGCTGCCCTGAAACCCACATGGAGTCGTACTTTCCATTAATTCTGACACAGATGATCTTCCATGTGATGATGTCAAACTGTCCGGTATTTTCTCTCTTGGTCTTCCTCTGACTCTTTACCCCTTTAACTTTCTCACCATCACAATGTACTTCAGCTTTCTAATTCTTATGACAGGACCAAACAATCTGGATTGTCTCCTTCTGATGTGGCCTATCAGTTTTCTTCATGAGTCAATTTCTTTCAAGACATCTTTACTACTCCTTGTTATATCTCCAGGGTGTTATCTTTAGTCTGTAAAACCAAATTTCAGCCACTTCTACATAATGTTCACTATCTGGTCAATTGTCCATGATTCACTTCCATGTATCAGAATAGGATTTAAATAAAATCAGCCAGCAGCTAGAGCCTACTACATGAAACTAGCAGACTACAGGGCAAGAGGCCGATCAAGAAAGAGATGAGTGGAAGGAGTAAAAGAGACACTACAGACACACAATCTGATATTAAGACAAGCTACGCAACTAGTAACAGACAGGAAACAACCTATAACTTTTCTATGCAACACTCTTTACGGCATAAGCAGTAGGATAAACGAAAAAGAAAAAGGATTTACATAGCTCTTGAGATTTCACTTTCTCCGTTACAATTGCATTCGTGAGCTGATCAGTGCATTTGGTGGGTGACTGGGTCGACCTGGGAGCCAAGGTCATTTTTAAAAAAAGTCCAACTCTGTCAAATCCTGAACCCACAACCTTCCAGTCCGCAGGCGAGCGTCTAGCCATTACACCATGGCGACTTCCACATCACAGGGAATGGGTTAGTTGCGTATCCTTTATAGGATGTTGCAGAATCAACCCCAACAGCCCCTGGCTGTTTTGTGGTTTTTCTCGGCAATTTTACGTCCAGTAGTCTGCCATTGCTTTCTGGACGGTCAGCTTTCTTGATACCACATCGAAACCAAGACAAGGCGCATGTCGCACAGCTGTGATCGACCCCGGCATTACGAAGCGTTCGCATCGACTTAGCCACAGAGCTGACATCACAGGGAATACGCTTAATAAATTAAGACTAACAAATATTCACAACTCTGACCTTGTGATGTCATAGACGAGAAGTGCCCCCGCTGCCCCTCGATAATAAGATCTTGTGATGGACCTGAAAGACTCCTGACCGGCCTGCAAACAGAAACAATTCTGTTATTTCCACACACACACACAGAGAACACACACAAACTGTCACCAAACTCATGCAACCCATACTAGAAATCAGCATCATCAATGTTCTTCTTTCTCTGTGTTAGTCAGCACATTCATCTCTATTTCCTTCACCACTGTGCTACATGAAGTTCCTTTCCTCATCCCCTTTACCTCCCAGATGATTTCCAGAACATTCTAGAATGTTTCAAGGGGCTGGATCGACCCTACAGATATCATCCTGTCATGCGATTATGTCAGTAACGGAAACATGGAGAGCAATAACAATGACTAGTAAATTACAAACATTCTTAAACTGACGCCTGTGCAGAATAGAATAAATTAAATAAATGGTATGACAGAATCACTTTTGCTGAGAACTAAAAAAAAATGCCATTGAATCATGAGGCGAGGAAAAAGACCCTAGCGTTGGATAGTACACAAGTTGAGAAAACTTATAACTAGAATGTATTTGCACTGGAACCCACAGGGGCATAGAAACAAAGGAGACCAAAAATACATGGAGGAGGGAGCTACAGAGTGAAGTTAAAATAATCGGGAGGACATGGGTGAGGTGCATGCAATGGCAACTTGGTGAGGTGCATGCAATGGCAACTTGGCGAGGACAGGGCATGGGTGAGGTGCATGCAATGGCAACTTGGTGAGGACAGGGCATGGGTGAGGTGCTTGCAATGGCAACTTGGTGAGGACAGGGCATGGGTGAGGTGCTTGCAATAGCAACTTGGTGAGGACAGGGCATGGGTGAGATGCATGCAATAGCAACTTGGTGAGGTGCATGCAATGGCAACTTGGTGAGGACAGGGCATGGGTGAGGTGCATGCAATGGCAACTTGGTGAGGACAGGGCATGGGTGAGGTGCTTGCAATGGCAACTTGGTGAGGACAGGGCATGGGTGAGGTGCTTGCAATGGCAACTTGGTGAGGACAGGGTATGGGTGAGGTGCTTGCAATGGCAACTTGGTGAGGACAGGACATGGGTGAGGTGCATGCAATGGCAACTTGGTGAGGACAGGGCATGGGTGAGGTGCATGCAATGGCAACTTGGTGAGGACAGGGCATGGGTGAGGTGCTTGCAATGGCAACTTGGTGAGGACAGGGCATGGGTGAGGTGCTTGCAATGGCAACTTGGTGAGGACAGGGCATGGGTGAGGTGCTTGCAATGGCAACTTGGTGAGGACAGGGCAACTTGGTGAGGACAGGGCATGGGTGAGGTGCATGCAATGGCAACTTGGTGAGGACAGGGCATGGGTGAGGTGCTTGCAATGGCAACTTGGTGAGGACAGGGCATGGGTGAGGTGCTTGCAATGGCAACTTGGTGAGGACAGGGCATGGGTGAGGTGCATGCAATGGCAACTTGGTGAGGACAGGGCAACTTGGTGAGGACAGGGCAACTTGGTGAGGACAGGGCATGGGTGAGGTGCATGCAATGGCAACTTGGTGAGGACAGGGCATGGGTGAGGTGCATGCAATGGCAACTTGGTGAGGACAGGGCGTGGGTGAGGTGCATGCAATGGCAACTTGGTGAGGACAGGGCAACTTGGTGAGGACAGGGCGTGGGTGAGGTGCATGCAATGGCAACTTGGTGAGGACAGGGCAACTTGGTGAGGACAGGGCATGGGTGAGGTGCATGCAATGGCAACTTGGTGAGGACAGGGCATGGGTGAGGTGCATGCAATGGCAACTTGGTGAGGACAGGGCAACTTGGTGAGGACAGGGCATGGGTGAGGTGCATGCAATGGCAACTTGGTGAGGACAGGGCATGGGTGAGGTGCATGCAATGGCAACTTGGTGAGGACAGGGCATGGGTGAGGTGCATGCAATGGCAACTTGGTGAGGACAGGGCATGGGTGAGGTGCTTGCAATGGCAACTTGGTGAGGACAGGGCATGGGTGAGGTGCATGCAATGGCAACTTGGTGAGGACAGGGCATGGGTGAGGTGCATGCAATGGCAACTTGGTGAGGACAGGGCATGGGTGAGGTGCATGCAATGGCAACTTGGTGAGGACAGGGCGTGGGTGAGGTGCATGCAATGGCAACTTGGTGAGGACAGGGCATGGGTGAGGTGCATGCAATGGCAACTTGGTGAGGACAGGGCAACTTGGTGAGGACAGGGCATGGGTGAGGTGCATGCAATGGCAACTTGGTGAGGACAGGGCATGGGTGAGGTGCATGCAATGGCAACTTGGTGAGGACAGGGCATGGGTGAGGTGCATGCAATGGCAACTTGGTGAGGACAGGGCATGGGTGAGGTGCATGCAATGGCAACTTGGTGAGGACAGGGCATGGGTGAGGTGCTTGCAATGGCAACTTGGTGAGGACAGGGCATGGGTGAGGTGCATGCAATGGCAACTTGGTGAGGACAGGGCATGGGTGAGGTGCATGCAATGGCAACTTGGTGAGGACAGGGCATGGGTGAGGTGCATGCAATGGCAACTTGGTGAGGACAGGGCGTGGGTGAGGTGCATGCAATGGCAACTTGGTGAGGACAGGGCATGGGTGAGGTGCATGCAATGGCAACTTGGTGAGGACAGGGCAACTTGGTGAGGACAGGGCATGGGTGAGGTGCATGCAATGGCAACTTGGTGAGGACAGGGCATGGGTGAGGTGCATGCAATGGCAACTTGGTGAGGACAGGGCATGGGTGAGGTGCTTGCAATGGCAACTGGTGAGGACAGGGCATGGGTGAGGTGCATGCAATGGCAACTTGGTGAGGACAGGGCATGGGTGAGGTGCATGCAATGGCAACTTGGTGAGGACAGGGCGTGGGTGAGGTGCATGCAATGGCAACTTGGTGAGGACAGGGCATGGGTGAGGTGCATGCAATGGCAACTTGGTGAGGACAGGGCATGGGTGAGGTGCATGCAATGGCAACTTGGTGAGGACAGGGCATGGGTGAGGTGCATGCAATGGCAACTTGGTGAGGACAGGGCGTGGGTGAGGTGCATGCAATGGCAACTTGGTGAGGACAGGGCATGGGTGAGGTGCATGCAATGGCAACTTGGTGAGGACAGGGCAACTTGGTGAGGACAGGGCATGGGTGAGGTGCATGCAATGGCAACTTGGTGAGGACAGGGCATGGGTGAGGTGCATGCAATGGCAACTTGGTGAGGACAGGGCATGGGTGAGGTGCATGCAATGGCAACTTGGTGAGGACAGGGCAACTTGGTGAGGACAGGGCATGGGTGAGGTGCATGCAATGGCAACTTGGTGAGGACAGGGCATGGGTGAGGTGCTTGCAATGGCAACTTGGTGAGGACAGGGCGTGGGTGAGGTGCTTGCAATGGCAACTTGGTGAGGACAGGGTTTTCTACTCTATCCTGTGCAATATTTTCATTATCACAGATGGACCCTAACCCAGCCCCTTTGGTCTGTCTCTGTTTTTTTTTAAATCTATTTCTTTCAACACTTATCAAATTTTTTTAAAAATCTTTTTCTTGAAACATTTATCAAACTCCTTTGACATTTTTTTTATCTACTTCTTTAAACGTTTATTAAACTTCTTGGACATTATGTTTTTTTTAATCAATTTTTTTTTTAGATATTCATCAAACTCCTTAGACATTGTTTTAATCTATTTCTTTAAACGCTTATCAAATTTCTTAGAAATTTTGTTTTCAACTATATTACACATTTTCTATATTTAAAAAAAACACACACATTACAACACAAAGTATATATAGACATCTAAATGTCCACAAGGCACTTACTGTGTCCCATATCTGTAACTTGATCTGTTTGCCATCAATGGTTATCATGCGAGCTCCAAACTCAACACCTGGAAAGGTTACCAGAGTACAATTATAAGTTAGTCGAGGTTCCAACACAACCGCAGACAGGTCGCCCTGTAACTGCTGCGTTCTGGTGCCAGTGTAAATCACACAAAATGTCCTTCATTGTCACATCTGAAAACTAGTGAAAAAACTTCCCAGTCCCAGCAAAACCTGGAAGAAGCTTGCACATATGAAGTAAAAACGCATAAAGCAGCTGCCAGATGTGCCAACACTAATGGTCCTATGCCAGAATTGCAGCTCACTGCTGGCACAAATGGTCACTGCACCCACATTCTAAATGTAGACAGCCACCAGTCATTTTAGTGCGCTGAACAGTACTGGGTTGTTGTTTTTTTTGCATTCGCGCTACATGGTTAAACCATTTAACGTATTGCTTTCTAATAAAATAGTTTTCTGATCTGATCTTTTCTTGTTATATTAAGAGCCCTTCGTAGGATTCCTTTTTCAGCTTTTCTGTTCTCTTTTTTCTATCAAATTAAATACAAATAAATGCTGATAAACATCCATGAATACAATTCTTCAAGCTATGACAAATAAAGACACACATACCTATAGTTAGATCATGAACCGGCTGAAACCTCTTGTCTGTGAACTGTAGCAGCAAGCAAGACTTGCCCACACCTGGGAAGGATACACAGAAATAAAATGTTTCAGTGTGAATACAACTGAAATCTCCATCGACCACCTTCTCTTCTAATAGGCTGAACTGTAAAACATTGTGTAAAAGATATTAGAGCTGCCAAAAGTGAAAACAATTATGTAATGGCCCAAGAGCCAAGTTAGAATATTCATAATAATTAAAAAAAATAGTTAACTTTTCATATTCCTGTGTGACTGCACCACTGGGTGGTGAACTGATAAATGACAATGAAGATATAGTCAAGCCCCTTTAGGAACAACTAAGTCAGAAGAGAAACTAGATTTGTATGGCCCGGAGAGAGTGATGCAGCCGGGTGTGACCAGGGGGTCTGACAGGCTCACTACACTCAGAGGAAAGGCAAAATGGACATATAACCAGACTTCGACCAGTACCATTAGTATTGGAACTCCAAGCTGGCTGCTGAAGACGGGAATGATGCACACATGGAAATGCTCTGCGTGCTGTGACACCAATTCTTGACTCAACTCATATCTGTGTGTGGGTTCCGAGGCCCAATTTTGGGAGAAAAAAGAATAGATCCACTGCCCTCCGAACATGCATGTCATGAAAGTAGTCTAATTAGGTGTGTTTCCTTCGAAGTTTGAGAGTTGATGAACCAACAGTCTGCATACAAATAAGCCGAATCTATAACATTCTGGAAAAAGACTCAAGTCCAAAAGTGGAGAACAACCCGAACTTTCTGCCAGAGTTTACAAACTGCAAACACCAAGAAGAATTTGTCATAATAACTTTACAAAGTCAGTTAGTTCTTAATAATTCTATCTTAACAACCAAGTTAGTTAACTCTTAATGTAACAACCAAGTTAGTTCATTCTCAACTTAGCAACCAAGTCAGTTATTTCAGAATTTAACAAAGTTAGTTCATTCCTAATTAATAAGAACTAAGTCTGTTAATTTTGATTAACTGAAACTTAATAACTGAGTTTGTTGAATCTTATTAACCGAAACCTACCAGCCAAGTTAGCAATTCTTCAAACCCACAACCTAACAACCTAGTTAATTAATTTTGATGAACACTGTAGTTAATCCCATCATCATGAAGTGTAGTTCATTTTATGTCAGGACATTAGGCATACGGGACAGAAACCAGGAACATCTGTGGCAACAGATGGTGCCTTTAATGACCTGCTGCAATGACAGATTGAGGTGATGGATCACACACTCAACACAGAAGGATCGTGTTCAGGGGAGAATAATTACAAGTGCATGTGAACGCATCTTTGGCACTTGCAGAGAGCTTCTTACTTTCTCCAAGCACAAATATCAGGAGTTTGTGCAACAGTAGTACTGATCCTTTACACTTTTATTCTTCTCAAGTGTTCGCCAGCTGTAAACTCCATCGGAAAATTCTGATTTTTCATACACTTCTGGACTTCTATTCTTGAGTTTTGCATGTACACTTGTTTTACAGATCTGGCTTATTTATATGCAGACTGATGGTTCCTTTCCTCTCAGGCGGATGCATCCCAACTTTGAATAAAGCCCCTAATTAGTCTACTTTTGCGACACGCTTGTTGGGGAGGCAGTGGGTCTATTCTTGTTTTCCCCACAATGGGGCCCCGGAAACCACCACAAGGGAAGGAGTAGGTTGTAATAACCTGAAAGGAGTGAAGAGAAGAATACCAAGTGAAGTGAGATGTTAGCTCAGTATCATGGCAAGAAGAATGTGGAGAAAAATAAGAAGCTGGCAGAGAAGGAGAGAAAAAAAAAAAACTACTGTGTTTGGATCACATTAAAGTCAGAGACCCACAGGCATTTGATCTTCATATTAAATTCACAGCTCGCCCAAGTCACCCATATGTAATCCCACTCATACTACACTTTTTCACTGACTACCACCCAGGTGTTCCTGTGCAGTTTATACTGATACATTATTAATTTAGTGTGTGTGTGTGTGAATCAGCGTATGTGTGTATCCCTATTCATGTCTACTGTTAGGCAACCACAGGTGTGCTACAAAAGGTTGAAGACGCTTCATGAAAAGCAAGAACAAGCTGAGGACTGTTTAAAAGCCCCTGTACTGTTAACAAAAGACAAGGTGTCTGAGGTAGATACAGAAAAGGGTGAAACCTCTGTGAAAATCCTGGGTGAAGCCAACAGAATTTGATACATAATTATAAACATGTAAAACACATATTTTAAATTCAGTGTTTTCTCTGTGTGGGTTCTGGGGCACCAATGTTAAAAGGGGACTTGGGGGGTGGTTAGATCCCCCAACAAGTGTGTCGTAAAAGTTGACTAATTAGGAGTGTTCTTTTAACTTTGGAGTGCATCTGCCTGAGACAGGGAACCAACAGTACGCACACAAATAAACCAGATGTGCGTGCACAATTCAAGTTCTGGAACAAGACCAGAACTGGACAAACAACCAGAACTGTGATCCACAACTTACAGCCAGTGAAGGCTAAGAAGAAATCGGTGTTTAAAAAGCACTGGTTGATTTTACTTGTTGAAATTTTGGCCTACCTATGTACCAGTCCTGACCTATGGGTGTGACTCATGGGCAATGACAACAGCTCACAGAAGCCAGCCGCAGGCCTCGGAAATGAGATACCTGAGAAAGGTGGTCCAAGTGACAAGAAGGGACAAAGTCCGCAATCAGACAATACGTCAAGATCTTGATACCCAGCCCTTACTAACCCGAGTAGATCAGTCACAGTTACGATGGTTTGGTCATGTATGCAGAATGGGAGAAAATCGGCCACCATGGCAAGCATGGGAGGCTAAGAACCAGGGAACCAGACCTCCGGGACGACCCAGGGTGCGCTGGGAAGACAACATCCGACAGTCCCTAACTGACAGAGTACTGGAATGGAACAAAGCCAGAAAGAAAACTGCGGATAGAGACGTCTGGCGATCTCCCTGGCAAACCTCTACACCCCAAGGTAAAAGAGGAGCGACTAAGTAAGTAAGTAAGAAATTTTGGCTTCAGAACACTGAGTTATATCTTACCTGCACTGTCACAGACCTAGGCCTACACATAAGTTACCCATTATGAGATTTAGTGTATGAGAAGATAAGTGGGGGGGCTGAAAGGTTTTGATGTATGGCATCCACCTCGGGTGCTGGAGATCCTGGGTTCAAGCCCCGGTGAAGGCTGGGAGTTTTTCAAGTGGACTTCTAGTCATTTCCCCTGGTCTCTGAGTAGTGAGACTGGACGCCCGTGTGTATTGTTGCTCACGTAAAAAATATCTTGGCAATTGGAAATCGAAAAGAGTAGCCTAACGGCGCTGCCCAGGCAAAATTGTGAGTTAAAAATCTACCCAAAGTATTTAAGGATCCTCGCCTGTGCAACAGAGTTCGTGCACTGTGCTGAGATTGTTTAGACAGGGTTGAGAGAGAAGTAGAACAGAGCACTCATGGGTTGCACCTGAGCGCCATGATGCTGATCCGCTGAATAAACAAATAACTGTGACTTTGTCCACTGGGAGCCATAATGACATTCTCAGATAGAAAGAGTTCAAGTTCAATCTCATTGTTTCATGTTGAAATCAGAGGCCCCTGAAGTTGGTGGTACCATCCTCTTGAGGACAGTGAAAAGATAGTCAGATGGTGAGGTTCAAACATGCAGTAAACATAACACCAAGAAAAAAGTATGTATGTGCGTCTTCTTTATTATGTCTTTTATCTTAAAATGCAGTACTGGCTAGGGCTCTTTAATTACATTTACTCAAGAGCCAAAATGAAAAAAATGGCAACAGTTACGGACTTAAGTCCCAAACCACAGTGTAGAAAATTATTAATACAATATACAAGGGGAAGTCAAACATTATCTATGCTTCTGACATATCTCTTCTTACAATGTCCATACTGACTTCCGTCCTAGCTTATTTTTTTGTTATACTGTTGTGATAATGCTATGAAAGTTTGACCCTAATTCAACACATTTTCCGTCCTTCTGTTGCAGATAGATTTTGACCACTCCATTAGAAGTTTGCATCTAAGAGGAACAACAAGCAGTGATATGATTCCTCTGGTCGGAGAGTATCAAAGATTCAGCTATTCATTGCAGACTATCATCGCAATATGGGGAAAGTGTGCTATCATGTAAAACCTTTTTTGTGGATCGAGAAGTTTAAAAGTGGTTGAACAAGTGAAATGCATGAAGAGGGAGCAGGAAGACATCAACTTCCATTATAGATGACAACATTCAGCAAGTTCAAGAGATGGTTCTGGCTTGTCCTACTAATGAAACCATCAACAAAGATTAAATTTGATTTCTGAAACACTCTCTCTTGAGGAATAGCCCTGGCATAAGCCATCGACCGTTTTAAACTGCACTGTACTGTGCAGATGTGAGAAACAAAACTCTAACTATTCTGCCTCAGTGACCAGTTGATCATGTCAAAAATCAGCACTCAATGTGAGAAGGATATCCAAAGAGACTGCTATTACTGGTACCACTGGAACTGGAACCTCTGCATTTGCTGCTTAAGATGGGAACAGGGCACTTATGACTTATGGGAACACAAACTATTGTGCCTATTGTAACTAGCATTTTGTTAGGGCACTCTTGCTTTATTTTAATATTTTATTTTCGGTTGACGTCTAATCTTGAAGTATATGACGGAGAACAAATGGCAAAAAGGAGTGAATTATAATACTGTCAACAGAAAATGACAAAAGACAAATTGTCACGACAACAAAAACACAAAGTGACAGAGAACGACAGCAACAATCACAAAAGCTGTCAACGTCCACACTTTTTGAAAAAGCACCCTTAGCTAGTATTTTGTTGGAGCAAATAAATTCTTCACCTGCAGTGGTTTGCGTTGCAGCTAGATCAGTTACAAACACATTAATTAGACGTAAGTAGGCTAATTATTGTACCACTCTTCACTCTGGGTCCGCCATGATGAATTGCCTGGCCGTCTACTTAGTCACTGTTAACACGAAGTACACTCACACACCAAATAAAAAAGCCTTATTCCTAATTCTACACTCTGGAGTTCACAAACCACGAATGTTACAAGAATATACGCACCTGTATCTCCAATAATGATGTATTTAAATAAATAAGCGTAAGACATGGTTAAAGTTGATTTGCTGTGAACTGTTCTGCTAACTATATCCTGACGTCACCAATCAAATCGGAAGTCTATATCACATGACCTTGGTTCAACAAATATCCAAACGGAAACGAATATCATTATTAACATCCATTAACTCGGAAAAACGAAATATAAAAACCATATAACTTGTTTGAGACTCAAAAATATTGTTAACTGTTTCTGTTCCAAACGACTCTCTTATCTTCACGTTTGTACTTTATTCCTCTATGGCAAAGCATTTCAACTGAAAGCCCGCGGATCATTGCCAGTTGTATTGTAATAATGAACACATTGAAAGAACAGTGTCGCTTCGATGTGGTGATTGGGCATCCGAACCTCAACGCGTCCTAATGGGTCTGCCCCAGGGATCACCATTGTCGCCTGTGCTCTTCAATGTGTACACAGCAGGAGTCACTAGTGCACAACGCGTAGGCCTAGGCAGAACAATGTCGTATGCAGATGATATCCTTGTTTACCGTCGAGGTAAAAACAGGCAGGAAATTACAACCACACTGCAACACGAACTAGACAGACTTAGTGAGTGGTGCCAGGAATCAAGAGCTCATGTGAACCCGTCCAAAGCCTCCTTAACATGGTTCTCTCTGAATACCCACATCGTGAGTACACCAACGCCAGTCGTAAGCATCTGTGGTGTGGACATCGAGAGAACGGACACCATGAAATACCTGGGCATGACATTTGACAGATGCTTGTCATACAAATGCCACGTAGACAACGTCATACTTAGAGCCAGGAAAGGTTTGACAGCACTCAAGGTGCTAGCAGCAGCTGATAGTGAACAACGTCTACTTTTCCTTCTCTATCAAGGGCTTGTGCTTAGCGTCATTGACTATGGTCTTGGCCTTCTCACTGTCAGCAAAACCCAGCTAGAAAGACTGAACCGAGTACAGAATGAGGCCATGAGACTCATACTCGGCTGCACAAAAGACACCTCCTGCAACGCCATGCGTTATATCCTGGGTCTGCCGACTATGACAAGCAGATACAAAGTGGCACAGGTCAAGGCTTACATGAGGGTATCGGCAGATGTTAACCACCCATTACACAAAGCTATTCACGACACAAAAGGAACGCGTCTCAAAAGGGGTCGCTCTTGGATGGCAAAGGCTGAGGACTTAATCCAGCAGGTATGTGACCTAGACGTGATCAGCCACGGAAAAGAATGGACGAATACACCAGTAGACATGCATGGCATCTCTAAGGTTGTCATCACACTCGGAAGGTACTGCAGGGATCAAATTCCTGCGGCGGTAGACACAGAAGTAAGGGAACTGATAGATCAGCATTCAGACCCAGAAGATACCATCATCTACACAGATGGATCCGTGAAGCGCGGATCAAGGTCAGCATGGGCATACACAGCGCAAAGAAAGGGGAAAACAATACATGAGGACAGTAGCGCTTACCAGACAACCACGTCAAGCATGACAATGGAAATAGCCGCTGCTTCTAGAGCTTTAGCATGGGTATCCGAGCAAACCGCCACACAGGTAGTAATTGTCTCAGACTCAATGAATATGCTTCAGAAGATAGCAACAGGCAGTATGCGCTCTGAATGGATAGAAAGCATCAGGAAATCGCACTTAACCTCCGTAACCTGGATCTACACACCGGGTCATGCGGGCGTGAAGGGAAATGAGCGAGCAGACCAACTGGCAAGCACTGCACTAATGATTGCGGTAAAAAGTATGGACAGAGCAGACATAGTCAACGCTGTACGAACTGGGCTAGTGGAGAATGAGGAATCCCTGACACTAACACGATTGCGTGACATGGGAGTTAAGCATGGTGATGCACGTCTTTGCCGTCTTCGAGGCCGAGAAAGGAGACAATATAACCAGCTTCTCATGGGGACAATTAGTAGAAGTACTTTAGAGTGGCTGCTGCTTCAGAGAACTGAGCACGCATGGTTATGCCCAATGTGCAGTGACATTAATTGTGATAACAGAACATAAAATAACAACTTAGTAGGGAGTCGGCAGTACGAAACCCAAGTTCAAGGTGTCTCCTTCGTGCCAAAGAACTGCATGGCTGTTGGGTGAACAGTCGTTAACGATGGCAGGCAGGTCGTTGTAGGGGCGACGCCTGCTGGTGGATGTAATGTCCTAAGTCCCTTCCCCAGCTAATAATGAGGGTACTGCTGGGGTGACCGTTTATTAACCCTCATATAATTCTTCCGGTCAAAATGGACGCTAGGTACGGCCACCCCCTTTTTTTTTTTTTTTTTTTTTTTTAAAGCCGTGGCAAATATTTTTTTTTCCAGACGGTGGCCGTTGCATTTTTGCTCCATTTGTAGACTGGAAGGATGTAGTTTCGTCGCCCAGCTTCTGAGTTGAGTGCATGGCGTGACACTGTGAGCTGCGTTTGTTTTTCGTTGGCACAGGAGCGGAGCATATGTGGGGTGACCCGTTTGCTATGAAGCTGAAACTAGGATTACCAGATTACCAGATTACCAGATTGTAATAATGATCTTTCTATGTCGATGAACTAAAAGTCTGCATGCAAATGAGTTAGATATGTGAAACGGATGTGTATGTAACACTCAGTTTCTGTAAATAGGACTAGAGTCCAGAAGTAGACGAACAACCAGAAATTTCCGCTAGAGTTTGCAGCTGGGGAACGCGAAGAAGAAGAAGAAGATATAAAATAATTGTATTTTAAAGTGGTTCTATATACCAAGCAAGAATTATATGTGCAGGCCCTAGTCTAACTGTGCTATAAGGCTAAATAGGTTAAACGATGTTTCCGGAATTTTCATCTGTTTGATTATCCTTGAGATGTTCTTCTTCTTCTTCTTCTTCTTCTTCTTCTTCTTCTTCTTCTTCTCTTCCACCTTGTACCTCATCGAAGTGTCGGGGGGAGATGTAATGTTCGTTGATGAGCTCTGTCAAGAGTACTATTAAGACTGATGTTCATTTCTGTAAGGCTGTTCTTAATGCCATCACTCCACATTTTCCGAGGTCTTCCACTCGCTTTATACCCGTTGTAACGTTTTAGTGTGGCTCGCTGTGGCAGATAGTACCAGGGCATTCTTGTTAGGTGTCCAAACCATTTCATTTGTTGTTCTTTGATGACCTGTAAGACTGGCTTTATTCCTAGCATTCGTCTGATTTCATGATTTTGTATTCTGTCTTTCCTTGAAACTCCTGCAGCTCTTCTAAGTCATTTCATCTCTGTTGTCACAATTTTACGTTCATTGGAGGATGTAAGTGTCCACGTTTGGCACTGATAGCATAATATTGGCCAAAAAATAGTTCTGATAAGATTCACTTTAGTACTCTGAGGTATCTGCTTGTGTGTCAACAGGGGAGATAGTTGACCCATTACTTGATTAGCTTTGGCACACCTGGAGCTAATTTCTCTGTCCAGTTTTCCTTTGGATGTGAAAATTGCTCCCAAATACTTAAATTCCTCTGTTGCCTTGAGATGGTAATTCAACAAAATGCAGAGTTGGATGGGAGTATTTAAAACAACAAGTTTTTAAAATATAAATATATCTCTCAATTATACCCTAGGTGGGTTGAACAGGATATCATTGGGGTGTCGCGTTAGCTGCAGCCCATGCCGGTGTTCGAAACCTGACCGTTCCCAGGGTTCACCCAGCCTCTAGGAAATGGGTACCAGAGTTAACACTCTGGGGTAAATGGAGGAACGTCGCTGTAGCTAAGGAGTTTCGTGCGGGCGGCGACACAGACGGACAGTTTCTTATCAGCTGTCCGTACTGGTGGCAGAGCACTTATGGTTTAAAACCGTGGGTAATGACGCTGGTTCACATCTCCCGACTTTACCGTTACCTTTTTAACAGCATATCATTGTTTAAACTAGTTTGACCACACTGTGTTGTTGCCAGACTAATCAGCTTTGACTTTCGTCCTAATCTGGTCTGTCATTACGTCTTCCCCTTGTCGGATGCAATTTTTCTTTACTTTAAAGCCCCACCATGCCTGCTGCCGGGGTCCTAATTTAACCTGCAAGTTGAACGGGATTTCCGGGACTTCTCCAAGGGTGATTCTCATCCGTATGGTGACACTTTGCGTCACTTGGTGTTTATCGCTCTGTGTGATGTTATGGTGGGGTAAAAATAACTTGCTGATCTGATCTGATCTAAAAAAAAAAAACACATCTAGCACCATGTACCTATGAACAAAACCCCTTCTTTATCATCATGTCTACCTCATCGCGGTCTGTCTGGAAGAAACAGTCTCTCCCGCCTCTTGTACTTCCATATCCTATGAGTTACTAATATCCTGTGCGCATCTTCGTGTTGGTCGGCCCCTGTCCACTCCTTCCTTTTATTTACCAGATTACCTGATGCCTTCTGCTATTCCCCCCCCCCCCATCAACCCACCGTGGCTCTTGGTGCAAGGGCCATTCATCATCATGTAGCAGGTCCTTTGCAGAACGTCGCTCTCATCACAGTCTGCCTGTAAGAAACTCGGTCTCTTGCCAGCTCTCCCGCCTCATGAACTTTCACACTCAAGGAGTCACTTATATCCTGTGCCCATCTTCGTGTCGGTCGGCCTCTGCCCCTCCTTCCTGGTACCATGCCTTCTGCTATAATTTTTTCCAAACCGTCGTGGCGCTTGATATGACCAAAATATTTAGCTTTCGAGAAAGGATGCTGTTTATTAGCCAACCTTCCTTGATGTTCAGATGCAAGGGCCATTACTTACACAAATATGATCTGGCAAAAAGATTCGAGTGGTCCTCCCTGTCTCCATCAACCAATCAGACGTGGAGTGGACGACTTGTATTTGCCTATAGACCGGACAGCGGTATCCTCAAGTTGGTGGACATCGGCGAGCTTTCTTCTTCTCTCGTGGTTTACACACATTTATGGTATTTCTACCAGCTTTATCATCGTTAACTTCACTAATTATAACAGTTTAATCATTCAAAGATGATTTTAGTGACATATAGTTATTTTACTGAAAACTTTGCTTTCTTTCGTAAATCTA